GGTGACCAAAGTATCTGAGCTTGAGCTTCATTATCAGTCCTTCCAATGAACAATCAGGGTTAATCAGGGGGTAATTAGATGTTAGCAAATGGAGGGAGAGAATTTACTCTTATGTTTTCATTTGCTCATAGCCTCGGTGTCAGAGGCCATGGACCAAGGAAGCGCTAAGTCCTGAATACCTGAAATCCCTACGCTTTCAAGACCATGACTAGGTTTCATGAGCATTGCTTAGATTCCTTTTCAGTAGAAACATGCCTGGCCCAAGATACATGGTATCTTTTTTAAGAGCTCCATTTAAACTTTAAATGACATTGTATGCTTTGATAAAAGAAAAGGCAGATTTTTTCTTTGTTTTGCTTAGTCAACAATTTTCCTACCATAAATATTTTATGGATTTACTTTTTCTCTCAGGGAGCTCTTTGGAACATATTTTAACTTACATTGTCTGGTTAATGTCAAATGGATGATGATATGATGTCATTCTATATGTTGCTGCTACCCATTCATTATGAGGACCACAGAAGAGAACTGATCTCTTTTATAAACTAGATTGTATTTTATTTCAAGAACCTGAAAGCTAACAGAGGGCACAGACTAATTCATGGAGAAAGACCGTTAGACCCTATCTTTCTCTGGGAGCTTAAGATAGCACGCATTTAATATTACTGTTCCGTAGGACTGATTTCTTTTGAACTTCGAGAATAAGTGTTAGTGTGTTCAATAGCATGGTTGAGATAATAAAAGCTAATAAACATCATTCAGTGGAATGTATTTATTAATTCTATTTTAATACCAAGGAATTATGGCAAGAGTTGTACTACATATTTCTTACATAACACTAGATATATGAAGTTACTTACATGTAAAACAATTTCTAATGTTATTGTGCGAGAGCCCATGAAACCTTTGTTTCCTACAAATCCTAATGACTGTTAGAATTTCTAGAGTATTGTCTCCTTTCTCTATATAATGTAATCTGACATATACTGATAAGGAAAGTCAGCCTGGCCCAATATGTCATGAAAAGAGCAACTTCAGTTCCCAGCCTCAAGTCAGGCCTCAGAGACAAATTCCCCAACTGGGCAAAGAAAAAGTATTTTTTCCTTTTTTTGTATTTTGCAAAATATGTTGTTGTTCAGTCGTTAAGTCGTGTCCGACTCTTCGTGACCCCATGAACCATATCGTG